AGTTTTGGTATTTGATAAGTGAAAATCGAAAAAAAAAATTATTTGTAGGTCAGAACGGCCCGTTCTGAAAGCAGAACGAGCTGTTCTGGTTCCATTTTTTATGTGCTAATTTTTGATTTTGAAACGGTCGGTTCTAATTTGTTTTCCATGTGTTATTTTTTAATTCGGAAAGGCTCGTTCTGCTTTCAGAATGGTCCGTTCCGAATGTGAATAGTAATTGGTGCTAATTGGGAAAATAAATTTGCAATTACTATTTGGGTAATTTTTTTTAAAATAGTATTATTTGAGTAAAAAAACTCTATTTATGTGACGAAAAGGGTATTATAGAACTACTATTCGTCTTATTAACATCCCTAATTATATTAAGAAATAATTTTTTTATTGAGAAAAAAATTAAATATGACTGAGAAATTTTATAATTTTGAAAATCTCTTTATTAAAAAAGTAGTCAAAGTAAATATTTAATGTTTGTTAACATGTTACAACTTGCATGATAGACAAACTCCATATTCCAAAATGAAATGGAAAAGAAAGATATGCATCATTTATTTTCAAAAAATGTAGTGCGTGTGCTGCGACAACTGAGAAGAGGTTTTCAAGGGACTGAAGGGAGTCTATATCCGCCTTACACGGGATTACATGCCTAAAAGACATGTGTTATCAACATACACACTTTACGAATTTTTTTCTCAATTAATATTTTTTTAAAAAAAAATTACCAAAAAAAAAAATTATTACATTATTTACCCAAATAAACCTTTTTATTGCTCACACTTAGAATTCGATTCCCGGGGAATCAAATTCTGAGCACTGTTGTTATTATTATTATTATTTTGCGTTTTATTTTCTGAGGAAGAGGAAAACTGGATTCAGAACGGAGCGTTTTACAATCAGAACGGCCTGTTCCAGATAAAAAATATATACACATGACGAGTGGATCGGAACGACCCGTTCCAAGTAGAACGGCCCGTTCCAAGTAGAACGGCCCGTTCCAGTTCCAAAATTGACACATTCCTGAGCCCAAAATGAAAAAAAAAATTAAACACTACTCAGAATTCGGTTCCTCGAGAATCGAATTCTGAGCACAAAAAAAAAATATAAAAAAAATAACAGTGCTCAGAATTCGGTTTCCCGGGAATCAAATTCTGAGTGTAAACGGTAAACATGTCTATTTGAGTAAATAATGTGTAATAGATGTTCTTTTGGTAATTTTGTTTTAAAAAAATATTATTTAAGAAAAAAATTCCACACTTTACATAGGAAGCAATATATGATATGAAATATTCTTGAAAGAAAACTATATATTTTTTATTATGAGTTAAATTCTTTTTTAATTTTTAATTTAAATTATTATTTTTAGTGATGTAGTTCAATGAAAAAAAAATCTTACATACCTTTTCCTCTCGGAATCAAATTGAACCTCTGGCCAAAGACTCTCATAACTCACTTAAATACAATATTACAATTGTCCATAATATCACTCAAATTTATAAAAAGGAACTCCAAAAAAGATCAATTTTTATATTTGCTAAATGTTCTGAATTGAGACAACAATAAGTCTTTCTAAGAGAGGTTTTACACTAAAATAATATATCTAACTATTTTTTCTTTTGAAGTTTGAAGATAGAAAAACAAATTTATTTATCCTTAAGAAACTAAAAATATATTTAAAATTTTATTTTTTAATGAGTTAAATTTGTTTTTAATTTTTAAATTTAAAATTAATATTTTAGAGATGTATTTTGATGAAAAAAAAATGACTAAAACAAGTTTTTTGAATTTATATACCTTACTAAAAAAAATCCAATTTTAAAGTTGAAAGATAAACTATAAATTTATTTTAAATTTAAGAATCTAAAAATAGACTTATGACAAAAATAGTATATATAAACATTTATATATAAAATACAGACATAAAAGTATTTTTAGGATATTTTTTTAAAAAGAGATATTTTTTAGGAATTATTTAATTTTATTTTTATTATTTATTAATTAAATTTTAATATTTTTAAAATAAATTATATATTATAATATAAATTATTTATTTTTTTTTGGGTAACTATAATATTGGTTGAGAGCTAGACATTAATCACTAGAGATAAGATAGTCTTTGATACTTCTTGATAAATGTTTTATAACAAATTTAAGGATCAAAGTCTTAACTACGTGATTCAAGAGCACAATCATTTTTATCTATTTTATTACACTTTGTGTATTATTTGTTGTTTTATTAGTTATTTTGTTGCTATATTGTTATTATATTTTCTACTTTATTTGTCTATTTAGTTAATTCATTATTTTAATAATGAGAGTGTTATTTTTTTAGGGTTATGACAGATTTGGAGTCTGGCAGTGTAAGGAGGGAAGGTAGATCTGTCACCCGATTGTCTGGGTTGACAGCTGGACGCATTGCCAAGGAGAGGACACAGGTTGAGGTGGATCCTCGTTCTGGCAAGGCGTTAGGCCCAAATGCTGCAAAGTTTAGGAGCTATTTGGGAGTCATAACTGACGTCATGTTTCTATTATCATTCCATCATGGGATGATGTTGAGGAGGTTGACAAGAACCAATTTGTTGTATATGTAGGGAGATGTAGCTGAGTGTTTGGCCTACTTGGCTTCCCCTGCTGGCAGAGATGAGTTTTTGCTGGAGGCAGTCACAGAGCAAACTAATCGATTTTTATCGATATCTGATGACTATCTAGCACGTGTCGTTGAGCCAGCTGAGGAAGCACCCCCTCCTTCGGAGTCATATGACATGGGGACATTCAATGTTCCTCCATCCTCTAGGGAGGCAGCAGGATTAGCACGACAAAGAACGCCAGTTCAGGCTATGGACCAGATATACCATGCAGTGCTAGACAGACCGGAAGGGATGTATTATGTTCCTTCACAGGATTTCACTTATCCTTCTCTCTCCCAGAACACATATTGGTACCATCCACCGCACCCACCAGGTTTCGAGACATCGGTTCCGATGACGACGACAAATATTTGTCAGTCACTTGGTTTAGAGGAGTCGCCCACAGCATCACCCGAGCACACGGCCGCAGCATCACCCGAGCCCTTCATCTCGTCAGAGATGATGGCCATATTAGGGCAATCTCCTTTTGCAACTCCACAACCAAGTGGCCCACACAATGACACACAGCAGAGTCAGCAAGCCCCTTATCGTATTCCATATGATGATGCTTATATCAGTCATGCTTATACATCAGGTAATATAAAATTAAATAAATTTGTCCATTATTTAATTCTTTTGTTTATTATTAATAATGTAAATTTGTGTTTTAAATTTGATGTTACAGGGGTGGATTTGCAACCACAGTTTTCAGCGGAGGCTAGTCATCCACCATCGGAGCCACAACAACTACATGTTCGTCGGAATCCTCAAAGGGCGGCAAGAGAGAGACGACGACGATGCATTCTCACTCCTGGTACTGTTAGAGGAGTAGGTCATCATGATGACGAAGATGACGAAGATGAGGAGGATGAGGATTAGACATTGTATATTTATGAACTATTTCATTAACTTTCAAAAAATTGTAATCATGGAAAAAAAATTATACACTAATCATCACGGTTACATATTCTCGGACAATTGCGCCTGTTGTGACCTTCTTGTTTACATATACCACATTTTTGTCGTCACGTTGAGCTTTCAACCTAGTTCATTTCGTTTCTAATTCTAGTTGATTTTGGTCGGCCTTTCCCACGCACAGATGTTGGATCTGGGACAAGTATCCATTCGTCATCACTTGGAGGGATTAAGTCTTCATTTCTGATTGGTTCCCAAAGACCAGAATAGGCTCTTAAAACATAATCAGTTGTGTAAACTGGATCTATAAACTGGTAGTAATCAATGCTAACGACACCACATGCAGCTATAACATGAGAACAAGGATAGTGAAATGCTGTAAACTCTCTGCATTGACAGTATCGTTCATTTAGATTAACTACCCATTTCTTTTATGGGCGGAAATCACAGCTATTCAGTATTCCCACCATCCTTAAAATCTTGTTAATTTACATCATATCAAAATGTTGAGGAATCTAAGCCCGTACTGTAAACCATTTGTTTCACAAATTGTAAACGAAATCTCACCTTGACTGGTTCCCTGAATTTTATGGGCCAAAATCACCGCTATTCAGTATTCCCACCATCCTTAAAATCTTGTTAACTTGTATCATATCCTCTTCCCCTCTTTCTATAATTTTCATCCTGTTTTCTTTTGTCAATTCTGACACATTTTACGGACTAAGTTTCTTCGTTTTCAACCTACTTCAAGGAAGCAAGGTGTGCTTTCCTCTGCCAATCTTCGTGTCTCCCTTCTCTAATGTTTGACCCTAGCCATTAAGTGTGGTTTGCTAGTTTCTTTCTTCCATTTCTGCTGGCGTGAGAGCACTTAGATTGAAGAATATGGTCTTCTACCCTGAATCTCTCATCTCAAAGGCTCAAAGCCCTAGCTTCAAGTGAGTGTGCTGGTGAAGTTCTCTCCCCCTCCCCTATGTTTGGATGCATTTTGGCATTAAAAAACGATCCCCTTCCTTTTCAATGATACCCAATCAATCCTGCCATAAGCCTGATTTCTTTGTTAAAATTCTACCCCATGTCAATTACAAGTAAGGGCTTGGTATTACTTTTGTTTGAGATCTCATATTGACCAGTGAGATGACCACACTAGTGTTTACAGGTGTCGAATAATCTTCACCTTATAAGTCGGTTTTGTAAAATTAAATAGATTTCAATCCACTTTTTTAAGAACTTTTAGTTCCTTTTTGTTTAATTTTAAGTAGTTAATTTAATTTAATAAGAAATTAGGAACTGAAAACATATTCTTGTGCTGATCTAAGCACGTAGGATAATTAATTCTTCAAAGTAATAGAAATTATTAAATTTTGGGAGTTTTACACTCATACACCATTCACTGTTCAGGCTTTAGGCCCAAAGCACTCTTTTATGATGGAGCTTATTTTTGTCCTCTGTCTAACTACTACTGGGAATTGGTCATTGACATTCTATCCTTAATTCATTTGCAGCAAAGAACTTATGTATCAGCAAGTTCTTAGCCGTTTTGGCCATTTTAATGCCATTCAACTAAGTGATCCAGTCCCTTTGAAAGACTTAATTATATTGGCACTGAAGGAAGAGGATGTAGATTCAGAATGTAATGATGACGACAGCTTAAAAGAGAAGATTGCAGAAGTAATCTCCCACTGGCTTTGAATCACTGATATATATACTTTTAACTATTTTGGTTGTATTATATCTTCTATAATTGTTTATTCTGTGGATTAGGGTAACCTCTTTGAATTATTAATATCAAGAAGTTTAATTGTAAAAAACAGTAGAAGCTTGTTTGCATTTTGTTTTGTTGAAATATTAGAGATATAACTTCGTTTGGAAGAGTATGAGAGAAGGAGTGGGGAAGGTGACAATTTAGAAGGAATGTTGGATGAAGCCACCCTGCAGCTTGATTTATACTAAATGCTGGAGGAACATTACTGCCATATTTTCTGATCAATATCCTATTAGTTGCCTAGCATGAATCCTTACAAATCATCCTTGATTAAAAGGATCTGCACTTCCATAACTCAGAAGAATTTCCTCTGCAGTTTAATATACTTAGTAATACTCCTTAAACTGAAGCTTTCATAAGAAATAAGGTGTTGTAAATAACAAAAATATCTTAGGGGTCTATCAATATCTTATTTAATCTTTTATAATTATTTCTTTTTATCCTTTTCCTGTCATTGTTTTCTTATTTTAGAGATAGTAGTTTTCTCTATAAAAAAACATGATTAGTGAATGTAATTTGTGTGAAAAATATTATTCATAAAAGTGCCTTTTTCCCCCCAAGTTAAGGCAACTAACATTCCTTTGGATAACATAACATTTGATGATGTTCTTGGTAGAGGAATCCTAAAGTTTTCAACCTTTCTCCTGAACGGGCTCTCAAACTTCTCTTGTACATAGGCACATTAACTAAACACATCAGCAAATCTCCTTAAGTTTTTTTACCTTGTTCCTTAGTTTCCTTCTCAAATTTCTCCCAATTATTCTGGATGTCAGTCTCAGACCATCCAATAAACCAAAATCATGCAAAATCTTCACAAAAAACCCTATTGATTACAAATCAGAAACAAAGTCACACTAACCGAAGCAATACTGCTTTTGACAAAATTTGACTACACTCCTTACTGCACAAAATATATTGTGTTTGTCTTTGTAGGATTTCACTGACCCTTAGATTTTGAATTAGAGTGGGTGACAAAATAATGCAATTTGTTTTAGTAAACTGGAGAAATTAAACTTCTTGCATATGCACATTTTCACTTGATAGTTTCCTTTTGGATCTGTTTTTTGGTATTGGTATTTAAGGGTATTTCTTTTGCTATTCTCCAGATGAACACAGAACTACTGAAACAAAAGGCCGAAATGCTGGAGGAGTATTTCCGCATTCATATTGATGAACATGGAAATGTCTCTAGACTTCCTGTGATACTTGACCAGTACACTCCTGACATGGATCGCGTCCCTGAGTTTGCTCTTTGCTTGGGCAATGATGTTAGTTATAAATTTCTTTGTTCTTTCTCTCTTCACATGTTTGCAGACGTGTCTCTGATTTCTTTTTCTGTACATTGGTAATATTATCAGCTATTTTTCTTTTGCCTGAATTCAATTTATGCACTGATGTGTTTAATATGGTCATAACATTTGTGCATCTTTTGTCTCTTGATTACACTTTTTGTGATCAAGCATCATCTTGTTTTTCCAGTTGCTATTCCATTGAATTCATTTCCAACTAAATATTCAAGCGTGTGTTTATTGATAATTGTGAATTTTCATAATGTACCTGATCACATCTATTTTTGCTGTACATTTTGAAAGATTGTGATTTGCATTTTTATGTTAGGTTGATTGGGAAGAGGAAAAGAATTGCATTCAAGCAGTTTCAGCTGCTCTAGGAAATTTCTATGCTATGCATCCACTGATGTTGCCCAATCCGTCTGGTGAAGGCTCGCTTTTTTACAAGAAGCGAAAACTGATAGATGGTATTGCTGAAGAGAATACCTGTGATAGTACTGGTATGAACTTATGCTTATTACTTTCTGGATCATTCACACCCACATGTACTCACATATCCTCATTTGTCACTGCATAGGCACACTTGTATTGTAAAAAGTTAAAATTGGAAACTGCAAATGGAGCAAACCACTAGGGTTAGCCTAGTGGTTGGGTGGGGAAGGGTTGGGGTAGTTAGAAGCATGAGAACCTAAGTTCAATCCTCATCGCGACCATCTTTGAGGGAAAAAAAGATTAAAATAAGAAAAAAATGTAAATTTTAAAAATAAGTAATAAAATGTATAAAATAATTAAAAAAACGAAAAAAAAAATTAAATTGGGGCGCTATGGCCCATAGCTTCACTTAGGCGCTATGGGCCACAACGCCTGTGTTAAAAAAAATACATTTTATTTATTTTAAAATTACGTTTTTTTAAATTGGGGCACTATGGCCCATAGCTCCATCCAAAAGTTATGACCCATAGCGCCAATTATAAAAATATAGCTAATATTTTTTAAATATTAAATTTATTTAGAAATTTATAGAAAAATAACAGATAAAAGGGAAAAAAAGGATTAAAATTAAAAAAAAAATGTAAATTTTAAAAAATAAGTAATATAATATAAAAAATAATTTAAAAGCGAAAAAAAAAATATTAGGGCGTTATGGTCCATAGCTCCACTCAAGCGCTATGGCTCATAGCGCCAATTATAAAAATATAGCTAATATTTTTATAATATAAAATTTTTTACAAATTTATAAAAAGAATAAAGGGTAAAAAGGGAAAAAAAGATTGAAATAAGAAAAAAATGTAAATTTTAAAAAATAAATAATAAAATGTATAAAATAATTAAAAAAACGAAGAAAAAAAATTTAAATTGGGGTGCTATGGCCCATAGCTTCACTCAGGTGCTATGGGTCACAGCACCTGTGTTAAAAAAATACATTTTATTTATTTTAAAATTACGTTTTTTTAAAACTTAATTTTCTTTTTATAATTATATAATAAATAGTTCATTTTACTATATTTATTTTATATTATTATTATTTTCCTTTTTTTATTTTTTTGTTTACCCAGTGTTACTATGGGCTACATAATTTTTTTAAGTCCATCAGCTGTGGTGGACCAGCTGATAACGACACTGATCCAGCCCAACCAAGCCAAAAAAAAAACGTGTCATGGGTGTCGCGTTGGCCCATAGCGACACCCAGTAAAAGAGTCTCAAAGGTGTAAAATGTTTCAAAACAGCCCCATTTTGATAATAAGTTTCTATAAGTGCATTTAGCCGTCTAATTTATTGATTCAACCTAACTAGTACTTCATATTTTGATTCAACCTAACTAGTACTTCATATTTTGATTCAACCTAACTAGTACTTCATATAAACATTTAAAAATAAGATTAATACATTTGTTGGTATCTTCGAATTATTAATAGAAATATTTTATATTAACAATTTTTAAATGGACCATGAACTAAATACAAAATTCAGAAAGTAAAATATACTACATAAACTCAGCAGATTTATCATATAAAACCTTAATATATCTTTAAGATTTAAAATAAAAAATTCTATTAAAAAAAACCTGATAAGTTCCAACAAAATAGATTTTATACAGAAAAAACATAGACAGGTCAACTCCATATCCAACATAACTTCCTATATACAACATTCTTAAGTATAATTTTCATAAGCACCAATAAATAATTTTCACCAACGTCAAAGATATAAAATAGCCCAAACACAAAGCAAGCAAAATTTGAACTAAACTGGTGAGGGCCGCGCGAACGCAGGCCCCCTCTGCCACAAATTATGATGTAGGCTCTATCACTTGGACAGACCTTAGAATAGCACCCCTCCTAAGTGCAATGGAGGTCACTACCCTAGGCCATGGGCCTTTTTGGTCACCCATTGACCCCATCCAGGTAAGTATGTTGTACATGCACACACACATTTCTTTTATAGCTCATGTTCCTCACACTTCCCCCTATATTCACCAATGTGGGACTAAAACTCATATTTCCCTGCACTGATAATTTTGACTACAAACCTCTGACATTTTAATCCTGAATGACTGGATCAATTCTCATAAAGGAAATTATTTCATCATATGAAAGATTTTAAGATTATCATAATCTCTAATATTAAAATTTAATACAGAAACAAAATGTTAAGTATAAAAACCTATAATATTTCAGAAACACCAATAATAATGAGTAAAATTTATTTTAATTTCCAACTTCCAAAGGAACAAATATTCATTTACATGATGAACACAATAAATTATTCATAAAAAAAATCAAGTTAAGTATAGGAAAAAATCAGTATTAGTCATTAATTTTAGTGAATTTTGCTAAACAATAAAACCTTGAAAAAAAAAATATAAACCAGTTGAAATTTAATCATCCAGGCATGAAAAGTCGAAATTATTTCTCTTAAATTTAATTACTTATTCAAACATTTAATTACTTATTGTAATATCATGGTTAAAAAAATAATTTTACAAAAGTTAAATCCAGTTTTCTTTGTTCTAGATGTTGAATGTTTAATGGCTATATCTAAAGGTGAAATCTGAAACAACTATTCTTTTTCTTTTTAAAATTAAAATCAACCAATTTAAACACGCTAAGCCCATAAAAATAAGATTAACAAGTGAAAGTTCTGTACCTAATAAACATATCCAACACAACTTGCTTTTACCTTGAAAGATAAGATATGCAATATGCTTTAACAAATTCTTAATGACACTAAATTGTGTCATCATTATGCAGCTAATTTATTTCTAAACAAAAATATGAATTAATTTTGTTAATTAAAATAATTATAATTTCACGCATGCTACTTTTGTATATTAAAAAAAAGTCTTGCATCTAGTTACAAAATGAATATAATAAATTATTCATCAAAACAAATCACATAATATATAAAGAATATAACTCAGGAAAAAATACCAGTATTAGTCATGAGAATTACTGAATTTTCCCAATCCAAGAAAAGAAGTAAACAATAAAGCTTTGAAAAAGAACAATACCTGCTTATAATTGTTGAGACTAGAAGGATAATCCAGGTTTGAAAAGACAAGCTTATTTCTCTTATACATACTAATTTTGAGAAGACAAATTTATTTCTCTTAAACATGAATTTATTCTTTTTTGACAGCTTAAATATGATATTTATTCAAATGTTAGATATTTATTCAAACTAACATTTTAGGCTTTAATGTAAAGAAATCATGTTAAAGCAAAATTATTCATAAGTTGTTGGTGCTCAATGCTCAATTTCTATTGAATTTAATAAGCATATAAAAGACATAAATACATGTGAACTTAGTTGGTAGGATGTATCAGGCCCAAATTTAATAAGAAAATAAAAGACATAAATACATTTGGACTTAGTTGGTGGGGTGTGTCAAGCCCAAGCTATAGTGCAACGCATAGGCAACACATGAGAGGCCCAGTAGCAAGCTACTGTGATGGACTCTCCCCTTAAAAAATAAATTTAATATCATGTGGACCAATGGCCCACATATCAGATATTAAACTGATAAGAACAGATACTACACTTGATCTTAGCCAAAAGGCCGAGAAAGGTATGCTTTGTAAACTCACACGCTGTTTCTTTTATTCTCAATTCTACTTTGCATATTCTTTCTCCTCAGCAGTGTGGGACTTGAACATGAGCAGTTTAATACTGAACATCAGTAGCCACCACAGGTAGACTTTGTTTTCTTCACCACAACGCCCAATTCCTGTTCCTTCAGTCACCTGAATCCAATTATATTAGATATGATTGCTAACAAGTAACAAATATTCTTAGAAATATTAAAATTTAATCAAACAAGATTTTTAAATATACTCAAAAATAAAATTTTGATTAAAATAATTTTAAGAATGTGATTCAAGAATGCAATACTGAAACAAATGTCTCATATACTTTTTTCCTGAAAAAAAAAATTCTAATAAGTTTAAAATAATAAAATTTGACTAATCTCAAATTTTGACACGTTAAGGTTGAATAGGTAAAAAAAGGGAAAAGTTGAAGTTAAAAATAGAATTAATTATATTTTTAATCTGTATAACATGATAAATTGATAATCATACGATTTTGATTTTGATTTTTAAAAGTTTAGAATATGATATGAGAATAGGATAGGAAAAGATAAGAGTGGATGTGATAAGAGTAGAATAAGTTTTAATCATATTCAGTGTTAGTATGCATCATAGTGGTAAAGTAGATAATATTATTCTGTTATATATTTTGTATTTAATATAAATCAATAAGATATGACATAAATTATGTTTAAATAAAAAAAATACAACAAAATTACATATAAGTTTTAAAAAATAAATGTAAATTTAATTATTTTAAAAGTTTAAATTAAGAAACATATTTTTAACTATATTATATAAAAATAAATTTCCATCTATTTAATTAATTTTCTAAATTATAATTATTTTTCATATTTTCCTTTAAATAATATTTTTCATTTTAATATTTTAGTAAATAATATATTTTAATTTTACATTTCAAATTATAATAATTATATATAAAATAAAATATTCCAAGAAAATTTTATAATATATATTATATAAATAAATATATACATTGTGATATGTACTATAATATTATATATAAAGATGGGTTAAACATCTTTTTTTGTCTTCTTACATATGTAAATATCCATTTTTTGTCCCCCAATTTTAAAACATTTACTTTTAGTCTTCCATTTTTTAAAATGTGTCAAAATTTACCCCTTAACTAACATAGTTAATCTAATTTAACGACTATCCTAATCAATACAATACATGTCATCACATTTACCAACTTGAACTTCACATGTATACATTTAACAATTGCCAACTTAACTCCATGATCAACTATTAGACCCGTAATCCAAAAAGGACCAAAAATACCTTGTACGTTACATTACATTTACCTTTTTAACAAACAACACACACAACATCTATAACACCCCATTTTTTTCATAAAGATAATATAAATATAAATATTTTATTTATTAACAGAGGTTTTTTAATATTTGTTTTAATTATGTAATATATTTTAGAATATACTACATGATCTTTTCACTACTAGAAAAATTAATATTTGTGACGAATGTTT